AAATATCCTAATTAAGGAGTCGGTCTCATTGAAATCAAAGTGATATGTACCTTTCAGAAAAAAAATAGGTTTTATGTTAATAATTACAGAATTTGATTTTAAATTGTTTTGTGTTATGCAATAGGAAAAATGGGAAATATATTTCAATTCAGGATACTGCATCATAAAAACTATCAACTATGGAAAAACATGTGGAAATAAAATTGGTGAGTTTTTTAATTTGGGGAAATAATAGGAGACAGAGATGCTTTTAAAATTCAGTTCTATAGCTTCTGTAGATGTAAAAAGTAGATGTAAAAAAGGTGGGGAGGTGGGTTCCATACTTGCAACAAGACAGATTACTGTATCCAAATGTATCCTAGTCAGCACAAAAAAAGAGAATCACATATACAATGATGATATCGTTTGCACTGAGCATTCGATAAGGAACATGTAAGATATCCTCTTTTAATAATCTGTCCAAGCATGATTTCAGCAATGTTGGAGAAATTATGTAATGGTTATTTCAAATGCCACTCAAATCATGCTTCAAAGAAGTGCAAGCACAATGAAGTGGCTGCACTTTACTTCCTATGCAATTGTTCTATTGCTCCCAAACCACTGCTTCCCTGAATACATATAATGTCAGAAAGAGTAGAGTATGAATTTGGGGAAAAACCATGTCATACACCATGCTGGAATTGTTGCTTCAGTTCAGGATCATTTCCGGAGAATGGGAGTAAAGAAACCTGGACCTGATAAATACCATTAATGGTTTATTTGATCAATAGAACACATAATTAAGTGTTTCATGCACAGTGTTCACTTTAATAACCAAAATTAAATATGTATTAAAATATAAAACTTTGATGCTGACTTAAAAATGAATTATTTTATTACAAACTATTTTCCTATCTTTCCAACTCTAAGAATGAAGCAATGAAAAAACAGTGCAAACATAAAATGCAACAAAACAAATACTCCATTTTCCAAAAATTATTAGCAGCTCTAGTCCTATAATGATTCTATTCTGATGGCTCATCTTAGTTGATGATTTTTCACAATGTATTTCATGGCTTCCATCCCTACATGAGACTTTATTACTATCACATAGGAATAAAAAGCCATAAAACACTAGAGTGAATTTATCTTGATCAGATGCCATACTGATTTTCTTCACATGATTTCACAATCATTTCCAAACTAACTGAGAATTTCATGCTACATTATTCAACATTTGAAAACTATATTGCAGTTGTTTAAAAAGTGTTCTGTCACAAATTAACAGCAATTTAGGCTTCAGAGAGATTGCTAACTGACAGACAGGGGGACAGTCACCACACACAATCATTGAATTCACTGATAGACAGGACACCACAAAAATAGCACTAGAACAGACATATAAAAGACAAAACAACTACAAACGTATCCTTGGAATCTTTTAAGCATCCTCAACTCTTTCCTGTTTAGTTTCCTTAAATGGACACTGCAAACAACTCAAACATTTGTGTCAGAGGGTGCTACTCAGACAACAGTTTTATAGATATACTAAAGAAGCTTTTCCCAATGTGGGAAATGTCTTTTATCTATGCCTTCCAAATTGCCAGTCAGTATAACCAATGATCTTGCTGGCTCAAAATTCACACACTTGGAATCAAAAAAGCTGAACTAAAGCACTTCTGATTTACACAGAGGTGGTAATGCTGAGATGAAAATATATTACTTTCAAACATATCACATAGCACCTTCATCTATAACCAAATCCATGAACATTCTACCACCTATCTATCCTGCTGGACAATAAAGAAATAAAGCTGTTGTTTTCAAAATCAAGCTATGACTACATAAATTCTGAAATAAAGTACTTCAAAGAATCAATTACTATGTGTTTTTCCTGCTAATAGGCCAATGACATAGGTCTCTATGTTCACTGAAAAGAAAAGATCTTACATTCAATATCTTTGGAAATATTTTTCTTTCTATCTTTCTATATAGCATGTGCTAAAGAATATCCAAAATGCTTCAAGAAGTCTGTAATACTTTAAATAAAATAACTGATAGTAACCTTAGCAAAATAATTATCTTGTTAATTGTTGTTAATAATTGCAATGGAAAATCTACTCCATTTTATTGTTTTCTTACTCTTCTCTGGCTGCCTATCAAATCTATTTCTTGTCTAACACCATGTGGTTAATACAAGTGAAAACAGGAAATTCATAAATGAAAGGTAGTGCATAAATAAATTAAGTTATCATGCATAAAACATGCAAATGATTTAAAAACTGCATATGAAACCTTATTTTCATTCAACTGCATTTTGGCAGGACAAATAGTCACTGATTAGGTCCAGATTAATGCGCTCCCAAAAATTATCAATATGTTTTAAATAGTATAGTTTTTTATTTTGTTAGAGATGCTAACAACAAACTACAAACTTACTGAACAGACTTACTGCACTAAATGCTAGATACTAGATGCTCTCCAAGGTTCCTGCCATTCCTGCTGTTTTATAATTCTATGATGTTTTAAATGCAGAAGTTCATCAGCAATTGCTGAATTACTAATCCAGGAGAGTAATGGTATTAGATATAAGAAACTATAGGCCCATAATTAATTCATCCTTGTTTTATAGGATAAAAGATAGGTAAAAAAGGTAAAAAAGATATCTTACTCTAGGGGGCAGTGCTCATCTCCGTTTCTTAGCTGAGAGAGCCAGTGTTGTCCAAAGATGCTTCTGTGGTCATGTGGCCAACATGACTCTAAGGCACATGGAACGCTGTTACCTTCCCGCCAAAATGGTACTTATTTATCTACTTGCATTTACATGCTTTCAAATTGCTAGGTGGGTAGGAGCTGGACGAGGAACACTTATTCCTGATAAATGTTCCTCATCCCTTATTTATGATATTGAATTATATTATAGTTGTTCTTTTAATGTTCTAAAATATTATTTTATTTCATTTTAGCATCTTATGTAGTTTATGGAAGTTAACCCACTGCTAGATCTATGTCACTGATATTATTTTTTAAAAAATATCAATCTTATTTATAATCCAATGTCATGAGATTCATAAAAAATGTCAGGAAACAATCTAATTCAAGTATTTCTAAATTCATGGACCAATAAGAGAGATTTAAGCTCATTTTAGACATTTTCGTGGAAATCAGCAGGAAAAAGAACTGCCCAGTATTCTCATTCCAGCTTGGGCTTCCTTCTTCTAAAGATTAATCCGAGGTTGGCATGGTGATATTACATGGCTTAGATAGATTCAAGAAACTTTTTTTCTTTTTCTTTTTTTAACTTTGGCAAGAGAAGGAAAAGAGATGACTTTTTTTAATTTTGTATTTCAGTTCAGCCAAACAAAGTTCCCATCCAAAAATTGGATTTCAGCCAATTCAATTGTTTTATTCTTGGGGTTGATTTGAGAAATATAGTCCCTGGGTTAAAATTTTATTTTAATACTTTTACGCTGCAATGTCAGCCTTTTTTAAAGGTAGGAATGAAATTATTTCTCTCAACTGCAGCCTGAAATGAAAAAGGAGGACACAAAGACCTATAGGACACTAAACATAAAGAATCAGCTTTGTTTAGGATAGGATAGGATGGGATGGGATGGGATGGGATGGGATGGGATGGGATGGAATGGAATAGAATAGAATAGAATAGAATAGAATAGAATAGAATAGAATAGAATAGAAGTAGAGCTTTATTGTCACGTTGAATGTACACTAATCGGCATACATTAAAATGAAATGAAAAATGAAGTTTATTTATTTATTAGAAAAAGGCTGAATATTTCACACACAAAAATCTTCCAAATAGGATATCAAAAAGCTTGTTCTGATTATATGAACAAAAATAAAGCATGTGTGGGGGAAAAAATCAGTGACATTTTCTGGCTTCACTGAAAACTGATTTAATATATTGCCAGTGATGTCATTTACATGCACTTACTATTACATGAATTAAAGATTAAAATTCAGTCTCAAAGCTCAACTGATATACACTTGCGTATTTCACTAGTTTTAGGGAAACTTGAAACTAGAATATAACTCTAAGCCTCCTTGTGAAAAATGTAGTCTGTAAACGACACAAACATTACCACAAAGAAGCAAAGACATGTACAAAGACACATACACATATTCACACAGGCACACACATTTATTAAGTCTCTCACTCTGAAAGCCTTCTGAGGGCTACTTGTGCACATTTGCATATTAAATTAGTTGCCATAATACAGCATAAGGATGATATCTTCCTTCCAACACAGTGACAAATGTTCTGACAGCCTTTTAGTCTGGAAATATGCTGGTATAAATATGCTTAAATTCTTAGCTCCTAAAAGAGAAAGCTATTAGGCGGATTTCAATACCACAAGTAATCACTAAGAATACTCACTTTGTGAGACCATTTCTGAACCAGGTCTTTGGCACTTTACAGAAATATCCAACGTATCTACAGTATGTGCCTTTTTTCATTTTCTGCTTTGTGAGTAATTCTCTCATCGTATTTGAGCCTGGCAATTTCCTCAAAGGTTCCTTTTAGGTGTGGCAGAATCTGGAGTGGATCTTTTGTTTCAGGAATATATTGCTGAAACTGTCAGAGAGAGAAAAAAATCTGTGATAAAGTGAACTTTCTAAGTCTGTATATAAACAATATTTAGACCATTATATACTGCTGATGGATGAAATAGCCTGTTTACCTTGGAAATAATAGTCTTTTCTTCTTCAAATCATCATTCAGACTTGAATGTCATCCAGAAGTGATTTCTGCCTTCTTCAACTTATCCAGCATCTGAGGCCATGAGATAACTCTCATGGCACTGGCTTTTACTGACTCCTTCATTATTAGCCTCCTAGTGAGCGAGACAGAATACAATGAATGTAATAACCATACTTCACACAACAGGCCCTCTCTCGCTTTTAAATTGAAAATCCCCTTATTACAAAACAAGGGGTGGTTTTTTTCTTTTACCTTTAGGTAGGTCTGCCACATTCATAGGATTTTACAAAAACACAGCTGCTTTTTAAGCTAGAGAGAAATTGCATCTGCTAGACAGTAATTCTTCTTAGCCTGAATTGTATTGTTTTCTAAGTAGTTGGTAAGGGATTGCCTCCCCCCTAATGTATGTTCTGTTCTCTGCTTGTGTATTGGTGTGTGAGAAAAAATAAAATATACACATATTTTGAATGCAGCACATCAATGATTTGCCTATCACTATGTTTTACATAGAAATGAATGTTGAAATTGAGAAGATGTCAGAAACTGCAAGTAATGAATAATCCTTCAAAAATTTTGAGGTTTTATATCTTTCTTTCTCTATATATGTGTAGATTATAAACACTACAGGGACACTTCAAATGATGAATGCATTTCTTACCTGGAACATATATTATTTAATGATCATAATGAATACAAGAACTGGAGCAAAATCAGTCTGCTTATTACAGCAGCATCCTAAAATATTTTCTGAATTCAAATTCAAACTATTTTGTGTCTTTCTGTTTGTTATAAGGTAAGCTATTTGCTACAACGGGTTTATTGCCTGCATCTTTTTCAGTGCATCACTATAAAGAGATACAAGGCAAAAGACAGTAAGATGTAATACTGCAACTATAGATATTACTTAGAAAAAGCTTGCGTTTTTTTAAAGAAAATCATCAGAATATTATTTATAAACAGTATGCTTCTTTAGGTTCTGTCTGCTAATATAAGGTGGCACCTCTAACTTTCTATTTGAAGGTATGTATTCACTGTAGTAACAATGCTAATAGGATGCTGCAGTAGGATGCTAGTTTATTTTTCTGACTGCAAAATGTTTGTAGAAGAGTGTATCATAAATACTAATCCCATACTGAGTTTCTTGATCACATCATACTTGGAGAGATGGCAAAAATGTCTGACTTTACATATTTGCAAATTGTACAAAACCTGATGCCACGCCTGAAAGAATGACATTGTTTTCTATTGAGGTGGCAAAAAAATAGAATTTATTTTTTACACTAAAAGCTGTGGTTTGGTTAGTATATTGTGTGAAACTAGTCCTTTTGATTTTTCAATCCTGGTTTATAAGGTTATAAAATGAATCTATTTAAATGTAGCTTAGTCAATAAAACATGATTTAAGTTGTTTTGTTCTGTAGAGCAATGGCTCAGAAATTAAAAACAGTAAGCTTATCAGTTGGAAAGCTGACAGCCCAAGATTCAAGACTTGAGCGCCATGCGATGGGGTAAACTCCTGTCTTCACCCCAGTTCCTGCCCACCTAGAGTTTGAAAGCATGCAAATGAAAGTAGATAAATGGGTACTATTTTGGTGGGAAGGTAACAGTGTTCCATGTGCATCAGGTTATAGTCATGCTGACCATATGACCACAGAAGTGTATTCAGACAACGCTGGCTCCCTAGAGTCAGAAACAACAGGACAGGGAAAATCTTTACCTAAGTTGTATTGCACTGTAGTATAGTAACAACTTTTTGGCATTTTAAAGAGGAAGATATACGTTATGGCATAACCGGTTTTTGTTTCTGTGAAAATATTTCTATTTATTTAAAATATATCTAAGTTCCAAGATATGTACAGACTCCAGGCACTGGGTTATGACTTCATCATGTCTGCCAAGATGTATACTGATGATATCTGACTCCAAACTGATGGTTGATCTCACCCAGCAGTTTCATGTAGAAGTTAAGAAGGAAAAAGAGCATGGAATCCTGCAGCACCCCACAAGTAAGGAACCACAGCTGCAATTTCTCCCCACTGTCAACACTAATTGAAACTGACCACAGATTAAGACCACCACCACAAAGTGGGACCTCCTACTTCCAACCTCTGAAACTGGTCCAAAAGGTTTCTGTGGCTGACAGTATTAAAAGCAACTGAAAAAATGAACATCAGGTTGAATGTATTATTATAGTACCATCTAATCCCAGCTTCACTACAGATTATANNNTTCTCCCCACTGTCAACACTAATTGAAACTGACCACAGATTAAGACCACCACCACAAAGTGGGACCTCCTACTTCCAACCTCTGAAACTGGTCCAAAAGGTTTCTGTGGCTGACAGTATTAAAAGCAACTGAAAAAATGAACATCAGGTTGAATGTATTATTATAGTACCATCTAATCCCAGCTTCACTACAGATTATAAACAAGCAAGGCAATGCTGTCTCCATACTAAATCCTGGCCTGAAACCCAGATAATTTTTTAACTAAGATAATCTACTTCATAAGGGGATTGAAACTAAAGCCTGACTACCTTCTTTATAATCTTCCCTAATAAGGGAAAGCTGCTGTTTGGACAATAATTGTTCAGAACCATTGGGCACAGGAATGGTTCTTGAGGAGAAGAAATATCACAGCGTCTCTGAAAACCACAGGAATCACTTTCTCACTTAAGGAATCCAACACCACCAAACAGACCCAATCATAGGTCATCCCCAGGTGGCTTTTGTTATCCAGGAGGATGATCGAACAGGCACGTCCCTGGCCAACAGGCTGGAGAGACCTAGCTACTTCCTTAGGACTCACAAATAAGATCTTGCTTCAGGCCTCTTATTTAGACCTGTACAATCAGAATCCAATTCTAGACAAATCTGAGTAACTTAGTCTGACAAATAGTAAGAATATTCTTCACAGAAATCTGCAGAAGATCCTGCTACCTGTCTCTTCCCAACAGGATTTGGGTTACTTTTAATAATGCCAGAACTGTTAGCAGGTACAATATGGGCATAATATCAAACAACAGTAACATTATCACTATGATATAATACCTAATATGAGTTCTTACTTGTATTCAGTTGGATTAACTTTTCATCTTCCTTCAGCAGTACTCCAGGTGTTTCTTCCTGCACTTCATCTCCCAGAGGTTTCAGAGGTCCAAAATGCCTGCTGTGATTGGTAGAGAGGGAACAATCTGTATGGGTCAATCCAATTATATATCATCTCTACATTCAAGGTTTTATCTAAGGCTTCAGCTGACATGCCCACTGGATCCTTAGGGATAACTCAATATTTCCTTTGGAATGCAGGTGGGTCCACCATTTGCTTGGGATGGGCCCTTAGGATAAACTAAACAAAAAGCAATTGAAAAGTGATCTGTCCACAGCAAAGGATTGATACAAAGGTTCTCCAAAACCAGATTGCTTCTCAATTGTCTTGGAAATAAAGCCGGTCTAATCTTGAACCTCCCAGTATGCACTGGGCCCACAATGACTTGGGACAGGTCCATAATTGCCATGGAGGCCACAAATCATAATACTTTTATGATACAGATGTGTTATTATCATTTGAAAATTGTCACAGGTTGGCTTGATAGAAGGGGGAAGGTATAGACTTGACAATTTTATAAAGAAAGAAGAAATATCACCATGTATTTTATCTATAGATCACTGTACTACTGATCCACTGTAATTGGATCAAACACTTCCTGTTTGATTTTTGAAAAAAGTTAACATTCAGTAGGAAGTCTTAAAGATTATTTATACAAGAAAAGTTAGCTTTTTTTGTAGGGCAAGACAAGAATAACTTCAATTTACATGGTGACATTTGCATCTTCAGTACCTAATTTCAAAATGTGAATATTAATAGCATTGCCTATTGGAAAAGTGAGGGAAAATGCTATATCTTACCTGATAAGATCATACTTATCTTATTAATATGACAAACATGAAGTTGTACAATGAATTAAGATATGAGCCCACCATTGGGAACATAATGTCTTTCTGAATTCTTCAATTTGGATCCAGTTTCCTATCACATGCACTAACTTTATGTAAAAACTATACAGCTGAATGAAGATCCCATTTGCATTAAACACTGCAAATGTATTGGTATCCCACCACACAACCGGCAAGCATAGAGACATTAGGCTCTGAATATCAACCATCTCTCTTACCAGCAAGAATTTTAAACCACATGCCTGGGAAGATCACTTCTTTTTCTGAATCAAGCTCTCTTGATCAATGGGTTCAGTGGTAACTGCATATGAACATAATAAATGAAAGAGGTCATGCCATAACAGAAATGATGGCTTATCATTTTAATAGGCTACAACTGTTGAACAAATCCTGTATCACATTTGCATATTGATCTCAGCAACTAGACAACCTTGGTATTAGTGAGGCTAAACTTATTTTACGTTGACCTATCTCTGCATAATCCATATATAACAGAGTTTCAGCCTACCAATAATCCATTTTCCTTCAGTTCCAAAATTACAAATGCATTTGGCAGGAAAAAATAAATAAATCTCAGGACCTTATACATTCAGAAACATGTGGAAGAGGCCTTCATCCTGCAGTGGATAGACAATGGCTAAAATGATGATGATGAAAACGTATTTACCTATATAATGTGCACATTTTGTCTGCATTCCATATAACATATCCATTTTCATGTTTATTATGTTCTGTGTTTAAAAATTCAAAAAGTGAATATTTGGCAATGAATTTGCATTTTGGTTTCTCATGTGAAGCCCCCAAAATAATTCCTTCAAAACAATTTGTATCTTATCCATTCCCAGACTAAGCTGATTTGATTGAAAATAAAACAGTGCTAATGAGATGTGTCATTAACTATGAGAAATAGATTTTCTTCTAAATAGTTTCACAAAACAAAAATTAATACAAAATAAAGTACTATGAATAATTTCATATATGCTGTATGTTTGATACTTACATTGAAACTGCTTCTAGTTTCTTAGAAAGTGCATTTTTCTCATTAAAACCTCCCCAGTGCTTTTGAATATTTGAGAAATGAAGGTTCTGGCATTCCTTTCATATTAGATCAGAGGTGTCAAACTGCCGGCCCACGGGCCGGACATGTCATCCGGAAGCCACCCCCACCCCATTGCCGGCAATGGCAAAACCGGCCCGATACATTGCGCAACATGTCTGTATTAGATGAAGTACATATGCAGATACATGACTTTTTTCCCCCAAAGATATAAACATAGATTCCAAGAGTCCAGATTAAGTTTTAGTTGTGGACAACTGGAAGCTACAGATTAGATGTAAAATATGTGTCAATTTACCTCAGAGGATTCAAGAAAGTTTGTGTCAGCACTGAATTGGGTAAGTGCATACAAAGGAGCATTGGTTATGCACATGGATGAATATCTAAAGGGTTATTTTTTTCACTGATCTCTTTTCCTACACTGAGATGAAAAAATATTTACTAAATAGGATACAAAGAACTGTATTGTCTTTTAAGTCTAACATACATATCTTTAAATTCTGTAGTAATTTATTTAGTAAATTGTATTTAATTGCATTTTTTTCTACTAATTGAAGCTACAAAAAGAAGAAATTAGACTAACATCCATTTGTGTATGTCACTTTGGTGGTTCACTTACCCACTGAACCATTGTATCAATCACATTTGAACTCCCAAAATAGTAATTATATAAAAATAAATCTAACATACATATCTTTAAACTCCTCTTTTCCCCCTCTTCCCATTCTTAATATTCTGAAATGTGTAATAGCAGAGCTACAGAATGAAAGGAATTTTATAAAATGAAGTGAAGCATAAATCATGCAGGCTGGTGAAAGCTATGATACTGTATAAGATGAAGATGAAATCTAAAAGCATTTACATTCAACAAGCCTCCCCCACCCCCAAACAAAAGCATACCAACTTAATTTCCCATGCTAAAATCACTTTTAGGAGAGTGGAATAAATAGTGAAAGTTTCATAGTTGCAGCTTTAAGACCAGCAAAATCTATGCGAGGCATAAAAAAAGAAAAACAGAGAGACACACCAAAATTAAATGCATGGATTACAGCATGAAAAAGGCACCAAGGCTATGATAAGAAAAAGAAAAGATTTCCAGTGAGCTAAATTTGAAGCCTACCAGCAGTAGAAAAAGAAGATTAAACTGTATTACCTCTAGTCACTGAGAAGTTCCCCAGACAGTTTGGATGTAATTTGCAAAGATCAGGGGCAAAAAAACCCCAAACCCAACCTTCTCTGTATTATGGCTATATGGTTTAAGGGCGTGCATTCTGAGGTGGCAGCTCTAATCACTTTTATTGACTTGCTATTGAAAGATAGAGATGAGACATGGCAGATAGATGAAATACCGCATACCGTATTTTTCAGATATTTCATGATTAATATTGTGAATACTAATGGTTGTTTTAAAATATAAATGACATATACTCAATGATGTAAATTTAATATTAAGATATAAGTAAAATTCATGTGCATAACTGTTTCTCTGTATGTAATTTTAAAATAAATGGGATGGACTTATGAATTTTTAAAATAAAAACATGGCCTTCTCTGATTCATTTATGTATGTCACTGTTTTTAACACAGCTACTTTCATTAATATATTCTATGTAATAAGTATACTTGACCTTTTTAAAGGAAAAGTATTTTAATTTATATATGATTCTAGTTCAATAAATCCAGTGACATATATTCAATAAAAGAAGTGTTATGTTTACATGTAATTCAAACAAAGTAAGATTTAGTACACATAAATTGCATTACCCACATAAGCCTTGATGAAGATTAATTAATATAAGATTTTCTTTCACTAAGAAGTCATTTGTCTTGCAGTTGTAACACAAAATCAGTATTCACTGTTTAATTGTTCCAATATATTTTTAATAGATTTTATAAAGTTAGATTCTGACTTCATTGGCTGCATTGTTATGAAATGTGACTAAAAGTTCACTAACCATTTTTCACTTGAATATGGAAAAGATTTCCGTATTCTTTCAGATTTCAGGTTTCCCTTAGATTAATAAAATATCAACAATAAAAAAGAAGAATTAGAGGCTTGTTTTCAAAACAATATATTGTACATATGTGTACATGTATTCATATTCATTTTATAATACTGAAAATTTAAACAAGTGTCTCATCAGGTTGTCTAACAAACTATCTCATTATGTACGAGGGCAATTCAGAAATAAACCTCCGTTTGATTATCAATGCACTTGCAGATTATCTGCACTTGCAGATACAGAACTTTTATTATACACATTAGAAAACTACAACATTACATTACTTTTTGACATAATAGCCATTCAAATTGAGGCACTTGTCATAACGTCTTACAAGGTTTGAAATTCCTTTGTAGTAGTCACTCAGCACCAAATCTGGGCTATAGGGGGGATGATCAAAAACATCCCAATGGAACTGCTTCAAAAGTTCTTGGGTGTGTCTAGCGGTGTGCAGGTGAGCATTATCGTGAACCAACATCACACCATGGAAAATCCCACCAAATGTGAAGATACCAAAGGAGTACTGCTAGTTCATGAGTATGGTTCGACCATCAATTCAGAAGTCTACTGTGAAATGCTACAAAAACTCAGACGAGTCAGCCATAATAAGTGTCGGGGCATGCTGACTTCCGGTGTGGTGTTGTTTCCCGATAAGTGAACCAACAAGTGCCTCAATTTGAATGGTGATTATGTCGAAAAGTAATGTAATGTTGTAATTTTCTAATGTGTATAATAAAACCTCTGTATCTGCGAGTGTCTGTCGATGATAACCAACAAAGGTTTATTTCCGAATTACCCTCTATATGTTGCATAGTATCCATAGTAAAATTTTATGCAGCATTTCATCAGCCATGATATGTCTCTGTTTTCAGATAATATACTCAATACAGTTTATCAGGAATATGTTTGATAGCATATGATGGATCCATCACATGATTCACCAGGAACCACTGCTGCTTATTTAAAATTTGGTGTTGTCAGATCACCTGTCAGCAACATTAATCTGATGTTATCCAAAGGCTGAGTGTCTAGTCTCTGAGAAGATATGTGAACATACAATAAATCTTACCTAAGTCAATGATATCTCTTAGTAAGCTTTACAGAGCTACAAGGAGTAACCACAGGCAAATATGGACAAGACTGTTGTGTCATACTTTAATTTAAAACTCACCTTTCCTTTGAATATGCAATGCAGTTTACATAAGGGTGTCCCCTCTTAATCAGCATAACAGCAAATCTTGTGTGGGACAGACTGAGTTGGAAATTGGAATAGAATAACCCAGGTCATCCATGAGCTCTGTAGTTCAACATGAATCTCCTTTATCTAAATCCAGCACTTTAATTACTGCGTCAAAATGCTCCAATTGTTTTAATACCTTTCTTTGCTACTGCAGTCTACATGTCAGGAAAAATAGCAAATCATAATATCTAAATCTTCTAGAAATACCCAGGAATACTATACTAATTAATGCTTGAATGAATGCTTATGTTATACTCCTAACATACTTGCTATTTAAGATTCAGATGATGAATGCCAGATTCTCTTCCTTCTCTCCCCCCCCCCCCCAAAAAAAATAATTTCAATAAAAGAATGAACTTTTCAGGCTGCAGAACCCTAGATAGGAAACAGCTTCCTGTGACAAGTCAGTGTCAGTCTGCTATTCCTCAAGGCTATTAGCCACATTTTAGCATTTCACAGAAAAATGTAGTGGGGTACAGCTGAGAAGTATTAAATATGGATAGATGAGAGCTTTAGTATAGGATAGCTGTTGGTTAGAAAGGGGGCTGCTTTTTAATGAGAAGCTTACAGTGAAGGTGGCTGGAAAGTTGGGGAAAGGGAAAGAAGGAAACGAAAAGAGAAAAAGCAAACCTAAAGAACAGTCCGTTAAGGGTGGTGGTTAAGGTAGTTGCTGTGGCAGGAGAAACTAGGACCTGGAAAGCAACTGAGTGAAATCAATGAGTGGCTGGGATAAGTCTGGCAAAAAGAAAAAAAGTCCATTGCATTCTCCCAGAGGAAAATCCCCCCAGAGGAGGTTGGGAGAAGGAAGAAGGCTGAAAGAGCAGAATGGTCTGTCAACAGAAGATGAGGGACACTGTGCCTACTGAGACCCACTGACCTTGTTGAGAAAAGTAAAGCAAGTGACTTTGGGGAAAGAGAAAGGAGGGAGAAGGAGGAGATATAATAAATGTCTTTAGATTGAAGCTGTAAGGCAATAAATGAAACAAGAAAGTGTTAACAGACATAAA